TGTAGTAGCTGTACTTTATAAGACATTATGCATAAGTGTTGATATTGTAATCTCTAGTTACTCTAGTACTCTTAGGCTACGTAGATGTACATGTCCACAGAAACGGGATATTGATAGTCTACATACGAACACCCTAACATTATATCTGGTCAAACTGTCGCTGCATTACTTTACATTTGCTGTTAATCATGAAACGATTTTTGATTCTCTTCAAATGACTATATGGTAAAATGCAAAACAAAAGCTGTGAAAATTCAACGATATACTGAATTTTCATGAATAATGTCTCACTTAAGCTGTTGATTGAAGCTATTTACTTTTCACACACACAATATACGACATCCCTAAACATTCACTCCCTAAAATAATATTCCCATTAATTGCTTCGATGGGTTTTCTCCAGTTATTTATTGGTAATATCGAACCAAAAGAAAATGACTAACACCTGATATTTAAGGATTCTGTGTGTCTTTAGACACAAAAAATGCTGTTGAATGAAAAAGCTGCACTTTCTTTATGTTTACGACATAATGTGATCCACTAAGATATTAAGGCCTTTTTTTTAAAGAATCTGTTTGAACCTTTGTGCTCTGTACATTTTTACGTTGCTGTTTTCAACTTGTTTTTATGTAAATATGTTTTTTTATTTGAACTGTCCTGGTGGTTTTACTCTGGATGATGATGCATTGTATCACTCCATCTTATTAAAGTTACGGTATGATTTGATGCTGCACAGTTCAACGCCTCGAGACTTTTTATTGACTTCATCAGAGAGTGATACGTTACGACCATGGTTACGACCCAGCACACAGACCAGTACTGCCATCTAGTGGAAGATCCTTCATGCTACCAATCACTCATTTACATAAGACATGAGTTTTACCCATAAAATATGATTCCAGAGATAAATACATTGAATTATCATGTGTTTTTATTTGAACACGTTTAACCTAATATTGATAAAAAACCTCAAATTGCTGCTCAATTATTCAATGGCACATATGTATAAGTGTAATGTTCACCTTCATGCCTTTTTTAAATCAAATTTAAGAGTAAATAAAACATTTGTTGTACATCTCCAAGTGAAGAAACTGAACACTCCTGAATGTCGCCATTACCTGAAACTGTGGAACCAGGAGACAAAATCTAAACTGGAAAACACAAAAGATCTCTCCAAGCTGAATCAGGTGAGACCTCCTTGATATGTTGGTATAGACCAGGGGTTCCCAACCTTAAAGTGACTTTGATGGTTATTAGACTCAGGATTAATTAATTTGGATTCCCGCTGTATGAAGAAATTAAAGGAAAACACAAAAGATCTCCCCAAGCTGAACCAGGTGAGACCTCCTTTATATGTTGGTATAGACCAGGGGTTCCCAACCTTTTTTTTCCCAAGAGCCCCCCCAAATGACTCCTGTTGGAAGTTGCGCAGTGGTAATTAAAGTTTAAAAGTCTCAAAAATGCTACAACTACTGTCACAAACTGGATGAATGTGAAGTATTTTGTTAAAGGAGGATGGAAGCGTAAAGTGACTTTGATGGTTATTAGACTCAGGATTAATTCATTTGGATTCCCGCTGTATGAAGAAATTAAAGGAAAACACAAAAGATCTCCCCAAGCTCAACCAGGTGAGACCTCCTTGATATGTTGCTATACACAGTACATGCAGAAGAAGATTCATTTACAAAATACCTGAGTTTTACCCATAGAATATGACTCCAGAGATAAATACATTGAATTATCATGTGTCAAATATTTAATGGCACATATTTACAAGTGTAACTGATAGCTGGGGCTAAAGCTGAAACTAAATGGCGAGCGAAAAGCAACGACCTGTTTGTTTTTTTACTACAGTCATGTCATGCAAAAGGGAGCTCCAATTAATAAAATACGTTTTTTGTTTCCATGGCAGCCGTTTTCAGCCTTAAATTAAAACAAGGTGGACAATCCACTAGATTTAGTTTGAATTAACTTTTGACAAGTTGCATATTAAAGATACAAACACATAGACATTTTATACTAAGATGTTTAATATTGAATATGATTCTTTTATAATTATTTAAGCATTTTTCCAAAATCTTGATTTGAATATTGTTAAAAGGGTGATCTAAAAATCTCTAATTTGAAATGTTTGATACTTGCCAAAAGAATGTTGATACCGGATTTCATGACTTTAAACCACATGTGTCAAACTCAAGGCCCGTGGTGGATTTACTGATTATTTAATGTTTAATGTTTTTATAGGCAATAATTTAAGCTTTTTTAGTTCCAGGTTTAATATGTGCAATAAATTAATTTCAATAAGTTCTGCAATAAACATTGAACCAGTCCGACCCTCGACTAGTACCCATTATTTTTATTTTGGCCCACTGTGTATGTGTTTGACACCCCTGCTTTAAACCAACCATAACTTTTTCCCTTCTCACATTATTATACTGTTTAGGTGCAAATGGGTTTTAAAGGATCTCTTTACATGTTCATTGTAAAAGCACATGCACTTCCAGTTTAAGATATGATAAACATGTAATAATCCACAAAGTGAAAATTCAGGTATCATAAAAGCCACAGTGCAAAGTTGTGTGTGTGTGTGTATATATATATATAATGTACCAACTCATTACATTTACTCGAGTTCGGACACTACATACACTGAGATGTGTGTGTGTGTGTGTGTGTGTGTGTGTGTGTGTGTGTGTGTGTGTGTGTGTGTGTGTGTACCTGGAGCGTAGAGGCTGCAGCTCCTGCACGTGTGTGCTGGTGTCTCTGGTGTCGTAGACGAGCACGGAGCCGTTGCTCAGCCCGGCGTAAACGTAGTTACTGTTGTCCAAACACCAGCAGCAGCTCCACACGGGCTTACCGGCA